GGTGGGGGAATCCATGCCTGACAGTCGTCCCTGCCTCCCCCACGTTCCCCAGTTAGATGCAGGTGCCCGGGGTGCCAAGGCTGCTGGGCCTGGGCCTGAGGCAGCGCCCGGGGAGATGGGCACAGGCTCCTCGGGGCCAGGCCCTGTGCTGCAGTTCTTCACACGGCTGCGCCGCCATGCCAGCCTGGATGGGGCTAGCCCCTACTTCAAAGTCAAGAAGTGGAAGCTGGAGTCCAGCCAGAGAGCGTCCAGTCTGGACACGAGAGGTGAGGCACCCCAGAGTGACCATGACTGCCACGGGCCAGGAATTCCCAGCGCCTGCGCGTCTCTAGAAGACTGTCAGTTGCGATGCCCTGTGTCTCCTAGGCAGATGACCATCCCGTAACTTGTGATCCCAGGCTGAGTGTGTGCACTGGTATGGTGTTCACCTTCAGCTGCCCTGGACCTCCACCAGTCCTTTGGCCTGATTAGGCTTTATTAGAACAGTCACAGGGTCTGTAGAGCGCCTTTTTAAGTGGGCGAGGCTCTGGCTTCCACCTCCAGTACCACATAAACCCAGCGTGGTACTGCATGCCTCGGCACTCAGGAGGAGGACAGTAATTCAGAGCTAGCCTTGGCTACATGACCACATGAGAGCCTGCCTCAAAAAAAAAAAAGTGTAGGGGGGCAGTACTGCACTAATTCTAGGATCTGTGAATGGCTGTTTGTTGTGAGACTGTCTGTGTGGCCCAGACAGACCTTGAACTCTGGGCAACCCTCCCAATGCAGGAGATTACAGACACACAACTACCCAGCTAATCCCTGTGCATTTTTGATAAGGCCCTGGACAGTTAACAATTTGGGCTTTTGTGGCCACATTGTCCCATCTCAACCTCTGCTGCAGGAAGTGACTTTCGTGTGTAGATGAATACGGCCTTGGCTTTAGTAAAAGCTGTTCACAGCCCCAGGATCCAGGGTTGCTCCCTGGGAGGATTCTCAGGCTCTGCCTTGGTGGCAGTGGCTCCCAGGCACCAGCTTCCCTGTGGGGAGGGAAGGGGGATGGGTGGCTCTAGATGGCAGAGGGCTCACACCCCTTCTTTTCCAGATACTACTGTGGGAGGAGGGTCTGGGTGCTGATTAACCCCAAGCTGCTGTGCAGACCAGAACCTGTTTGGTGGGTGGCTCCCAGCCCACCTGGAGGTCTGCCCGCTGGCAGTTCTGTTTGGGGAAGATCTTGGCTACTGGCCAGGAGCTGGGGCAGTTTCCCTTCAAGCTTCCTACGCCAGGGCAGTGTGTAGGTGGCAACGTCTCTCCTTCCTGGCCCAACAGCTCCAGCTCCTCTGTGCCTGCTGCTTCAGCAAGACCTGGGCTGTGCTAGCCACTGGGTGTTCTTTCTCCTGGCCATACCTGTCCAACCAGGGTATTCTGTCGGGACTGCTTTCCCTGAGGCCTTCTAGTTCATGCCTAATCTCTGGTCTGTCCAGTCTCTTCAGCTGACCGACTACCCCCCCACAGGTTCCCCTAAGCGGCATCACTTTCAGCGGCAGCGGGCAGCCAGCGAGAGCACGGAGCAAGAGGGGGACGCCCCCCATGCCGACTTCATTCAGTACATTGCCAGCGCAGGCGATTCGGTGGCCTTCCCACCCCCCCGCCCCTTTCTGGCCAGCCCCACCAGCCCGCCCCCCACTCTCGGCAGGTATTTTTCAGTAGATAGAGATGCTAAGGGTGGGCCTGTGGGCCCCTGCCCTGCCCCGTCCCCCCTAGGTGGCCCAGGGACTGCCCTCCTGGCCCTGTGGACACGAACTCGAGTCACACTGGCCACTTCATGGGGGCCACCTCTCCAACGCAGACCGGAGAAGGAGGGAAACAGGGAAAGTTTGGGTAAGGGTAGGTGGGCAGTTGATGGCTCCAAGGTCTCCAAAATGGGACACCCACCAGAGCAGGGCAGCGGGCTTGGACCTACCCTGACCCTGCCAATTTGTGGCAGACTCCGAGGCCTGAAAGGCTCCTCAGTTGTCCCAGCAACCCTTCTGCCTACCTGTACTCCTAATATATGGCCTGACTCCTCACACAAGCCTTGGTGATTGCTTCTATCAGAAGCAACCTCCCTCTCCAACCCAAAAGCAAAACTCCCAAATGCCAGTAGGATACAGGCAGAGGCCCTGCAAACTTGGGGTGACCCTTGGCTTCTGTGATTCACACCTGGCCCTACCATCCCATAACCAATGGGTGAAGTAACCATGTAGGACGAGGGGCTGATTTGGAGTCTAGTTCAGGTCCATTCCCTTAAGTCCCCTTGCACATCAAGAGAATGTATCTAGGAGTGGCCCAGGCTCCATGAGGGTCCCTCCATGTCCATAGTCCCTAATGCACAAACGTGTGGCCGGCAGGGCAAGGCCTGCAGGCTCTGACCACGTGGGCCTGGCCTTGCAGGCTAGAGGCGGCTGAGGCAGCGGGAGGAGCAAGCCCCGAGACTCCTCCGGAGCACAGCATCAGTTTGGGGCCCGAGCATGCGCAGCAGCAGGACCCACAGCAAGAGCAGGACGCCGAGCATGCACAGTGCAGCTACCGTGACCTGTGGAGCCTTCGTACTTCCCTCGAGCTAAATGCAGCCACTGCATCGGACCACAGCAGCAGCGGCAATGACCGCGACTCAGTACGCAGCGGTGACAGTTCAGGATCGGGCTCTGGGGGTGGCGGCCCAGCACCTGCCTTCCCGCCCCCACCGGAGTCTCCGCCCGCTCTGCGGCCTAAGGACGGCGAGGCCCGCCGCCTGCTGCAGATGGACAGCGGGTATGCGAGCATCGAGGGCCGCGGTGCAGGTGACGAAGCCTCCGAACTTCCCGCTCCAACCCGCAGCCCTCCCCGCAGCCCGCGAGCCTGGCCGCGCAGGCCGCGCCGCGACTACAGCATCGACGAGAAGACGGACGCACTTTTCCACGAGTTCCTGCGCCACGACCCACATTTCGACGACGCGCCACGCCATCGCGCACGTGCGCATCCTCACGCCCACGCTCGTAAACAGTGGCAACAGAGAGGCCGGCAGCACAGCGACCCCGGTGGCGCACGCGCGGCCACACCCCCAGGGGCAGTCCGTCCTGCGCGTGCGCCCTTGCGCCGTGGTGACAGCGTCGATTGTCCTCCTGAAGGCCGTGCACTGCCGACCACAGGTGATGACCCGTCCATTCCTGTCATCGAGGAGGAGCCTGGCGGCGGAAGCGGTGGTTGCCCGGGCTCTGGGCTGTGTGTCGAGCCCGCCGGGGCGCTGCTGGACAAGCTGGCAGTCAGCCTCGACGATAGACTTTTCTCTCCCCGTCTCCCTGAGCCAGTCGCCTCCTCCCCGGTGCTGATTGTCGCTGCTGCTGCCCCCACGTCTCCCGACCACAGCCCGGCCTAAGCTCTGTGTACTCGACCCGCCTCTCGGCAGCTTCCCTGGCGGCACGTGGAGCAGCTGCGGATAGCAGGAGAAACCTGGGGTTGCCGTGCATGCGCACGCAGCCCGATTCGAACTGCGCACATGCAGTGTCCCATCACTCAGCGGGTCGAAGGAAGTGGTCTCCAGAGGCGCGAGGCTCCCGGACCCCGGTTCAGCTGCAGGGCGGATAAAGCACTCGGACTCTTGAGTCCTTATTTGTCCGACCATGGCACCTGGCCTCTGGCCACAGAGGCGGGTGAAGCAGGTTCTGAGGCACATAAGCAGCCTCCCTCCATTAGCGAGCACTTGCTGGTGATACCATTGCCGGCCATATGCTTGCGTGAACCTACTGGAGGGGAAGGGACCTTGGGGCAGAAAATCATCCTCAATCGGTTTACCTCACCATGGTGTGCGCTCTTGCAGTAGCCGTACCCTCCCTCTCCAAGCAATAACCGCCTCTCCCGCTCTCAGCATGTGCACACAGGCCCCACCTTGTCCCATTCCTCCCCAAGAGCCTTGGGCTTTGGACACGCGGACAGAACAGCCCAGGCAGCAGCTTCAAGTTTCCCAAGCTTTATTTATTGCCAAAATATAGGGCGGCCTCGCCTTGAGAGCCCGCCCACTCCCTGCCCTGTGCCCTGCGTGGGTAGTTGTGTTGTCTGGTTGATCATAAATGTCTCTGCATATTCACTCGCTCTGGGTTTTCTCTGCAGGCCACCCTGTGCCCCGCCTGCTCCAAACACCCTCACAGCCACAGCTCAAATCCACTTGTTTTATTAAAAAAAAAAAAAAGAAACCAACCCAAAGACAGCGAGGCTTGCGGGGCGGCATGCGGGCGAGGCCGGCCAGTGGTCTCGACATAAAGTGCTTTCTGGGGCGGTGGTCCACCCTCGGCTCCAATGCCCAGTCCACACGGGTGGGCCGAGAACCGCAGCCTTGCCGGGACACCTGCCCGGTGATCCTGGCGATACACTGCAGGTAGGTAGAAGGAGTTACTCAGTACCTAGCCTCTGCAGGGAGGTAGACACTACCATTGGTACAATCATGACTGGTAAGGGCTGTGGTCTCAGTCACCAAACCTCACCCCATGGGACCAGTGGAGCCCTGCCCCAAGGGAAGAGCCAGGAGCACAGCAGACACCCACTGAGCACCAAGCCGGTCTTTCTTGATCCTTCCTGGCCTTGCGCCCACCTGCAGGCTGCAGTCACTGCTGCTTGCAGGCTGAGAGCCGGCGGATCTTGTTGCTGGAGCACGACTTGCGAGCAGGGTTGAAGGTGCCAGGTCGGCCTTCCAGCTTCACCTTGCTGCTGAGCTGGGGCTCTGTGCCATTCACACACACAGCTTTGGGCAGGCTGCGGGTCTGTCCATTCTGACCCACCTCCTCTTCCACGACCTGTCCTGCGGGAAGATGGCAGGTATGGCTTGAGCCAAGGGACAGGCAACCCAAAGCCCCAGGACCCGGCCAGCCCCAACTGTGCCAGAGGCTGGTCAGGGCATGCTTTCTAGCCTCTAGTGCCATCCCTCAGTGGCTCCAAAGGCCTGTGCAGCCAGGCCCAGCCTTTCCAGTGGTCTGCCCTGGCCCCCCTGCAGCACACCCATGCTCACCTGCCTGTCTAGCCTGGGTAGCCCAAGCACCAGCTCACAGAGCTCTCCAAGTGAGTCAGGCTCTGGACCCACAAGAGGCCCATGGAGATGAAGCACTCAGCCTGGGGTCTACTAGCTGTGCTGAGCACGTGGGCACCGTCCAGCTGAGGGCTACAGGTCTAGCTTTCTCTGCTGGCCTGCCATCACAGTGGGGATAAGTCACCTCTCCCAAAGTTCCTCAACAAGTGGGCAGTCTCTAGCATGTAACTGCACAGCCACCAGGTGTTTGAGATGTTACTATGGGAACCCAACAGCACCCCCCCACCCCACCCGTATCCAGAGTCCCTCCTCCCAAAACTTCTGATTCTGTCAAGACTGGCAGCACCCACCCTGGCCCTCACTCTGGGCTAGACTGAGGCATGAGGTACGGTGGCCCCTGTAGCAGGAAATCCCTCCCCACAAGGCACCTGTCCTGTGCCGAGGCTATCCTGAGGTACTGCCACTGTACAGCACTATTCCAGGTGACACATGGGACCCATTGGCCACCCAGACAATGTCCCCAGACCCCTCCCCATAGCCTTGCCTTCTTTCAAACCACAGCCTCCCTGAGTGTCCCAAAGATGCAGTCAGCGTCCTAAGTGCATCCCTCCCCCACTGATGAGCTCACATGGAGGTCCTGCCGGGGTCAGCTAGCTAGTGGTACACATTCCAGGCAAGGGCTCAGGGTGACAGGGCCCTCGCTGTCTGAACAGAAGATGCTATTAGGACTGTGAATCTTGAGAACGACTGTGGCTAGAGCTCATACCGGACTCAGGTACTGCTGGTACTGCTTCCTGAATCCTCAATTGCTACAGGGACACCAGGGGTCCAGGGGCCTGACCCTCCCACACGCAACTGTCTGAAGGGCCAGGAGATGCTTTCCAGTAGGGCTGGCTTAAGGGGCACAGGAAAAGGGCCCTCAGAGCTCTATCTAGCCAGCGGTAACCTTGGTGCTGAGGGCCTGGCTCAGGCCTTGAACCTGGTATATTTTGGTACCCTGGTGGGAACCCTGCCAGGGTAGTGACAGGGAAGGGCAGTCGCGGCAAGCATCCACCTGCAGACACAGTGGACAAAGCTTTATGGAGGACATGGGCAGGGCAGCAGCCAGGGAGCTACACTAAGGCCTCGAACCCCTCCTCGGGCTCCTCTCCAGGAAGGCCTGCGCCCTGGCTCTTCCACATGCATGTGTCGCATGCATCCTCGCTAAGCCCTGCCTCGGCCGCCTCCTCGACACCTGGGGAAGAAGGCGATATAAGGTCAGGCATGGCGAGGACTGAGGGCCACTGGACCCTCCCTCTCATGGCTGTCTCAGGGCACCAGCCCACTACCCTCCAGGGTCTTCTCCTGCCACAACTTGCAGCCAGGGAGCCCTTCGCTAGCCCAGAGCGCAATGGCGCAGCCGAGGATAGCTCAGGTCAGACTGGAGCCTTGGGGAAGGACGAGCCCTAGAGAGCACAAGGCGCCAGCTCCAGGCGACACAAGCTGAGCCGACTCACCGGGCACCGTGAAGTCCTGGGTGTAGATGATGCCATCCTCAAGGTCAAACAAGTCCTCGTCCTCGTCCTCGTCAGCACGGCCGTGCAGGTCCTCCAGGTAGGGCACCACTGTCATACTGCGCCAGCGGTCCTTAGTGTCTGGGCTCGGGGGGATGGGCACCAGCGCCTCAGCCAGTGGGTGTTTCTTCCGGAACCAGCTGCAAATGTCCAGGTGCAATAGAGCCATCAGGTACTGGGCCCTTGGTGAAAACATTTGACACCTCATACAAGACGAGACCTACCACACCACAGCCCAAACACCCCGTGGCTGCCTTCCTGGATGCTACAGGCTGAGATCTCAGCGAGGGGTTCAGGGATCCTGACATGTGCACTCACACTAATGGCACCAGAAACCACTGCCCACTGATGGCAACCAGAGCTCCTCAGACTAGGGTGGACAATCAAGGCCCTGCACCTATAGTCCCTCTTATCTCAAACAGAGATAGGCTAAAAGCCCTCCCTAGGGAACACCCTGTTGAATTAGTCTCAGCCCAGCATGGAGGTGGCAAAAGCCCTGGGGACAACTGGCAGGGGCAGAGCCCACAGGCCACCTTGGACCCAGGGTTCCCACCAACAGAGTGGTAACAGGATGGAGGCTCCAAAGCTTTCCCGCCTCCTGCTGGCCTCCTTGCCTGTACTCCCATGTTGAGATGGCCAGGCTCCACTGGGTTAATGGCCAGCTGGGGTCCAGAGTGACACCTCCCTTGAAGCCTGGCAAGACCCGCTATGCTCTTCCCCATCTACTGCCATATCCTCCCACCATGGAGGAACTGCTGCACAGCCGCCTGCACACCTCAACAGGACAGCAGAGGGAGAGGAGCCTGGGATAGGGGAGTGCTGGAGGACTCTTACCCCTGCCTGCACTGGGCACCAGGAGGGAGGCACAGCCAGCAACCTGCAGACTCCAAACGTACACAGCACTTCCCCTGGCCAGCAGCAGATGTGCATATACATCTTCACTGCTGTGACCACCCAGCATCTGCAACCATGCTCTCACGTGTACTCAGACCCCAGCAGGTGGACATGGCAAGGGAGGTGCTTACCTGTGCTGCCTGATCTGTCGGATGGAGAACCTCTTGGCTGGCTCATACTCCAACATCCCTGTACAACAGAAGGGTCAGTGGACTAGGTGCTTGCCTTCTCCATGCCACAGCCCCACCCCACCATCCATCCTACTGGCCTTCCTAGGCCCCAGTGAGACAGCAGCAGGTAGCCTGGGCATAGCACTGAGACCCCCCAACATGGGGCCATCAAAGCTGACGCCAGTGCCACCTGCTGTACAGCCCAGGATACACAAGACACCCCTGCATTCTCTGTGCAGAAACCAGGCAAACAATCCTCGAGACCTCCAGTGCCAGCTGACAGGGGCTGTTCTATTAGTCAAGGCAGGCCACTGGCCCCACCCCACTGCCATCTCTGGCCATCTAGGAGCTGCAGGAGAGTCCCACTGACTCTGGACCCCTCCACAGACCAGGGGCTCTGTCCCTGGCTGTCCTGGCATGCAGGTGACCCATAGTCACTAGGAAGATGCCCACCTCGGAGCAGGTCAGAAAGTGGTGGGCCGCAGTCGCAAGGGATGGTGAAGTCCCCTCTCCCGATGTTCTCAAACAGCTTGTAGATATTGTCTCCCTCGAAAGGGTACAGGCCCGTGGTGATGTTGTAGCTTCACACAGGAGGACAGAATCAGTGCTGGTCACAAAGACCAGGTGCCCAACTCCCAGGTAGATGTGCGGCCATAGCACCTACACCCACCCTGTGGGATGGGGTCGAGGGGAACCATATCCATAGACCTGGAATATCCAACCTGCTGATCACCGTGGACAAACAGGCCCAAGAACACTAAAGAAAACCCGCAGTTCCCCATTTGCTACAGGGTCTAAAACACTTACAGTGTGACCCCAGCTGACCAGATGTCCACCTTGAAACCTGAGAAGGTGTCAAGTCCATTGGCAATCTCGGGTGGCTGGAAGGCCGGGGAGCCCTGGCTTGTCCGGCAGGTGTCATCCACAGCAAAAGGGTGCAGGGCCTGGAGGGCAGTGAGAGTCAGGGGTGCTCAGGAGAAGTGGCCCAGGAGCCCTGCACACGGTGCCTACCTCGGCAACACCCAGGTCGGAGATCTTGAGCGTGCCGTTGGTGGTGAGCAGCAGGTTGCCCGGCTTGATGTCCTTGTGCACAATGCCCTGGCTGTGCAGGTACTCCAGGCCGTCAATCAGCTGGCGAAAGTACCTGAATGGGTGGGACCGGCTCAGGCCCCACAGGGTCTCAGCCCATACCACGGTGCCTACACAAGCCTGCTATGCAATTTGGTAGAGTCACGAGGCCTAGCCCACAAGGGAACAGGCGTTTGGGGTTCAGGTAACAGACATGATAGTCAGAATGCCAGAGCCCATTGGAAATTACATGGGGCAACTACAGACACTGGTGCCTAGGCCCAGGGTGCCAAGCCTCCCCGCTGGCTTAACCTCTTCCCCTTCCCTTGATTCTGTGTCAACCAAGGGGTTGTGACTCTGCTGAGACTAGGAGAGATGGCCAGGCTCAGAGTCAGGCTCTGCAGGGCAGTGGGCCCACAGGGCCTAATAGGAAGGTGACCCCAAGCACATTGGCTGGGCTGAAAAGTGGGGGCCCAGAAACATCTGGGTTTTCCTGACAATATGGCTGACAAGAGTCACAAAAAGTGTTGGCTGCTCCTCCTGCACCTAGCAGGGCACTCACCCATGGGCCTGGCACACAGGGAAGCGCTTCTCCGGCACACTGTCCAGCATCTCCTGCATGCCACACACGCAGTACTCCATCACCATATACGTAGGGTGCTAAGGAAAGCAGCACACACCAGGCTCCTGGAGCCCTGCTCCTAGCAAGAGTAGTCTGGGATGCCCTGAAACCCGATGACAACTGAGACACTGCAGACACTGCTGAGGGTGCAGGGCCCTGCTGGGCCAGTAGACTGCTACCGCTCCTACCAGTACTGAGTCCACAGGGCCACTGTGCTACCGGTCCACATAGAGTCAGCATAGGATACAAATGGACCAGAAATGGATGTCTACTCATCACCCCAGGGTGGAAGGGGTGCCTGGGGGTCTGGGCTGCAGCCAACTACAGGGCACTTGGCTCTCCACATGCTCCCAGGACTGCCCAGATGCAGAGCAGGCAGTGCAAGCTCTACCCTGGGAAGGGGCAGCAAGGGAAACCATCAAAACGGAGGCAGTGCCAATGCATGTAGGCTCTAGGTACCTGAGATCGTGCCCAGCTCTGACCACAGTGGCCAGACCAGACTGGCATAGGGTAAGAGCTTCATGCCCTGCTCACCCTGTCTGCTAAGTTGCCAGGCATCACGGGACAGCACAGAACTGAGCTGCAGTTAGAGGCTCTGGCTATAAAGGGTTTCTACTCCCTACCACACACAGGGACCACCTCACCCCACTCCACCCCACAGGATATATCTTCTGCTTCTCCTCATTGTACAGCACGTCCACCAGCTGAATCACATTCCGGTGCCGCAGCCGCCGCAGCAGCTGGATCTCCCTGTAACAGAGGATACTGCTCAGCCGGCCCTGCCTGCTGTGAAGCCGCCCATCTGGGAACACACTGGACATGGGGTGGGGGGTCAAGTCTCTTGCTTGCCTTTAACACCTGGCTCCATCCCAGGGACCATCAGGACACTGGAACTGCTTCATAAAAGCAAAGCCCCATGTCTGGTGGCAAAGGCTCAGCACCTAATGAGCTACGACAGGGCCACAAGGGCTTCTCCCAAGCACTATTCCACCTCATAACCTGGATATCCCCCAAGCTGGGCTAAAGGAAAGTTCAGAGACTGGCAGCAGCAGCAGGAACGGCTACCATGGTGCCAGCGAGGAAAACACTGGCCCTACATAAGCACCACTGTGCAACAATGGGGGTCACCAGCCAGTCACAGAGGCTCCCCTTAGGTCAGGTCTGATGCCTAGACAGTAACACAGCACCCCAACACCAGAAGTTCCACCACCACGTGCATGCACGGCACCCATCACAGTCTCACACACAGAACGCCCACAGCAATCAAAAGGCACAGGCCAGGGTCCACACATTGATAGACACATAATGAAGCATCATAGCGATGTGAAAAGAAACAAGACTCTCACACTTGTCAATCATGCCCTATGAGAGACCCAGGCACAGAAGGCCACACAGAGTGGGGCTTCACAGAACAAGTGAATCCAGAGGCAAAAGGGTTTGCTGGGGACCAAGAGTATGGCTGGGGTGGATGGCTCATGGGGACTGTCTCTGGAGTGAGGAAACCTTGTGGAACCAGACAGTGGTGACAGCTACATTATGCACATTCTCCATGAGGCTGCCATGCCGTAATGAGTGAGGAAAGCCTGAGTCTCCTCTCCATTGGTTTGTACCCTCACCAACAAGCTCAGCAGGGTGGAAGCGCCCCTCCCTGGGCTGCCCTCACCTCCTTAAGCCCCACCTCTTCCAGAACTCTTCCTGACAGCCCACGGGGCATTCATCCTATGCTCTGTTCCAGTAGCAAGCTTGGTATGGAGGGGCCTTGGGAGCGGGCTGCAGGGGAGGAGGTGCTCTGCTCTGAGAGACGTACTTTCACCTCGGGCCCAAATTCAACAGTGCCCACCCAGGCTGGGCACATGCTATTTATGGAGCTGTTTTGTGTTCCCAGCCTGATGGACACGCAGGGCCTCGAGGGGCATGACGAGGCCAGTGAGACACAACAACTGTTCTTCTGCAACATGGTCGGTACAAGAGGCCTTGGAGCTCAGTCCTAGTACATTTTCTATCTCCAGGGGCCACAAACATGAAAGAGAAACCATACAGGCTGGATGCACAGTCAGAAGTGAAGAGGGCACTGGTGTTAGAAGCCACACACTCGGTTTTGGGGTTCCCAAGAAGCCATTTCAAATATGCCTGGACCAGTGCTCAGATCTAGCATGACCCTAGCTCCCCACTTTCACACTGAGTTCAGGCAGTCACTCCCGCTTTAGAATCAAGGCTCCCATCCTGATCCCCACACATGCCACAGCAGGGACTGTTACAAAGGCAGGGCCGAAAGCCCACTATGAAGGTGAGAGCTGAAGCAGATGCCATACCCAGCACATCAGAGGACACCACTGTGACAGACTCCTTGTAGAGATGCCAATCAAGACAGAGGGTCACTTAAGCCAAGTCCCCCAGAGACAGCCCACCTGGCATACAATCTCCTGGGTGCTGTGCACAACACAGCCACAGAAGGAAGAAGAGAGAAGCGGAGGCCCAAACATGAGGCCATGAGCTCCCAGGATAGGACAGCACCCCCAGCTCAGGCTTGGGGCCACGCTTCAAAAGAGGTTAGGCCAGTAGCTGGCACACACACATATATACATGCACACATGCATACGTATGTGCACACAACAATGAAAGCTGGCAACATCCCGCCTTTCTAGATGTAGCATCAGCTGTCTTGCGGAGGCCACAATGCCCTCTGCAGCTGGAACCTCCTTTCCAGGCACTGCACACGGGCCATGCTCTTCCTGGGGAATCTGGTGCTGGGCCAAGTCCTCCACATTCTCCACACCTAGAGCTTCCCCAGCTATGAGACAGCCACTGCTCTCCAACACGTCCCTGTACCAACCACACAGTGGCTCTGTGGCTCCAGCCTTTGTCCAGTAGCCCCAACTCAGGCCATGACAGTCTCCAGTTGAGCCCTCCTGAAGCACCATCCATTCCCAGCTAACAGAGCATACCTACAAGGGCAGCAATGAGCCACCACCAGCCTGGCTCTGCAGGGCCTGGTGTGAGCACTGGTAGCACCCCCCCCCC